GAGGTGCACATCACTGGATGCAGTATGAGATGCTAATGTTAACTGTTCTTATCTGTGAAATCTTTCTCTTGTTGAAAAAGGACACCTTCTCCTTTTTTTAAATATGTACACAGTCAACTATTGCGTACATCATCCTGATCATTCCTTACGAAGTTCAATAGGTCTAGGTTGCCTGCAACGCTGAACATTCTGAACTAATACTTTTCAAAAGAATGGATACTGCTGTTTTAAAAATCCCCACCTTCAACTTAATCCTACAAGACCGAAGTTTTTGAGCAATAGCTGAACGATGGCGCACGCTTGCAACTCATGAATAAACTACTTCCATAGCTTCTTCCAGAAGTTTGGCAGATGCAGATTTGACGCTGTTTCATTGCATATACCGATGTACAACTTATCGTAATGGGCCTCACTAACCTACATTATCTTTAAGTTTTTTCTTTTTATTTGAAAATTAGTTTTCCTATTCCAGGTGGTTAAGTAATTATAACGTTTGTGAAAAGCTGTACTTTACTATAAATTGTCTGATAAACCTTATGAATGTTGGTAATGTTCCAAAAAGGACTTCCTCTTTGTCTTAGTCCCCTGACATTGTTTTTTCATTGTTATTACAACGATTTATATTCCGTTTGTTTAGACAACAGCTTGTTCGATACTTCAAGACATCAACGTATCGAATGAATTACATGGAAACACCAACTGGTTTAAAAATGGTTATGAACACCGATCCATCAGCAGTTGGAATACCGGAACTTATACGGGCAATCTATCAGGTTCGTCCTAGTTGGAACTTATTCCTATTCTTGTACCTTGTTTGTATTGCACAAGAACAGTTTTTTTTTCTCTTTATTAATAATTATCTTCGATTTCTTTCTTTTGATTAACTTCGTCTGTATTTCAGTCCGAAAAATTTGCTTTATTCACGTAACCTTTTCCTTGTGAACGCTATCACATTTGCCGTAATGTACCTCTTGACCTCGAAAACTATTTTCTTATTTTGCAACCTTTTTATACCGCTAGGTTTTTTTACTTGGTTCCAGTTACATTGCTTATGAAACTCCCGTCTGTTCAACCATTGTGAAATTCTGAATTAGCGGCGCGTTTCTACATATATCCTCTGAATGAACTAAGTTCCGTTACTGTTATAGTTTCCATTTCAGATCTATGTGGACACCGTGATGAAAAATCCGTTGATTGATACTTCCACACAAATCTCCAGTGATCTCTTCGCTAGTCGGGTTGATCAAATCGTTTGTGGTCACTCATCCTACATTTGAAAACCGGTGTTTAGTGCATATTGTCTGTACAGGTATAAATTATTGCATGAGATGATTTACTTTTTTGTATTCTGGAATCCTATAGTAAACTTTATTCGCTTCCTTTGTTAGACTTGCACGACTATTAAAAAACCTTCATTAAGCTCTGATGAAAAGACAGGAATTAATACCATGTGTATTATTGCATAGCTATCAAACAACAAGATGAGGAATGACAATTTCCGGTCCAACCATAACCGCATCTCGAGCAGCTTTCTAAAATTACAGAATCGTAACTTGAACCTCTCTCAAAAAGTAGATTAAGACATTGTTCATAATTGTTTTCTCGCATAATTACCTTGAGTGTTGCAATTTCTGTTGTCCAATCCTCCTTTGCAATTCGCTGCACCGCCTCAATAAACAAGCTCTTGGCTTTATAACAATTTTCCGCAAATGTCTTCATGACAAGTTCCATTGACACCTGGAAAAGTTCATGTCTTGCGCGGCTTTCCAAAGCTAAATGTTATCAAATGTTCGCATCTAGTACGTATGTCGTGCAAAAACTGCATTCAAGTAATTTATAATAGTGTGAGAAAGCTCTCACCTGCTCATCATCCTTCCAGCAGTCATAATCGGTGACAAGGGCGGTAGTTGCATAGGGGATACCCAGTTCTTTTGCGAGACAGCACTGAAATAATTCAAATGTAGCTTTTGCAGGCCTTGTAATTT